AGGAAGAGGTGTATATGACTATGCCACCAGGGGTTTAAGCTTGTTAATGGTCAGAATTTAGCATGTAAGCTAAATAAAGCCATGTATGGGTTAAAGCAGTTGCCCCACGTGCTTGGTTTGAGAGGTTCAGCACTACTGTGAAAAGAGTAGGGTACATAGAGGGTTAGGTAGATCATACTCACTTCATCAAGAAGCACTAACGCTGCACCACTGCCCTTATTGTATATGTTGATGATATTGTTATCATTGAAAATTATCCAAAAGAGATTCATCGAATGAAGTCATTCTTAGGGACAAAGTTCGAGGTTAAAGGCCTCGGATTGAGATACTTTCCTGGCATCGAGGAGTGCAGATGGAAGAAAGGGGTGTTCATTTCTCAACGGAAGTATGTATTAAATTTGTTGGCTGAAACAGGTAGGCTTGGAGCTAGGCCTATTGATATTCCCATTGAGAAGAACCATAGGCTTAATGATGTAAATGGAGACCCATTAGACAACGTGTGAAGATTTCAGCGATTGGTCGGGAGACTGATTTACCTATCTCTCACGCGCCCAGATATTGCATATGTTATTAGTGTGATTAGTCAGTTTATGCATGCTCCACGTACACCTCACCTTGAGACAGCTCATCATGTTCTTTGCTACCTCAAGGGTTCACCTGGTAAGGGGGATATTGTTTAGCCGTCATGGCCACTTGTGTGTTGAAGCCTATACTGATGCTGATTGGGTAGGGTCTGTGACAGATCGACGATATACTTCAGGATATTGCACATTTGTTGGAGGTAATCTTGTTTCATGGCAAAGCAAGAAACAACATGTAGTAGCTACATCTAGTGCAAAGGCTAAGTTCAGATCCATGGCACATGGAGTTTATGAGTTGTTATGACTACGAACGATGTTGGGTGAGTTGGGTTATCTTGTTCGCGAGTCAATGAAGTTGTATTGTGACAACAAGGCTATTATTAGCATTGCCCACAATCCAATTCAACACGATAGGACAAAGCACATTGAAGTCGATCAACACTTCATCAAGGAAAAGCTTCGCATTAGGCTGATTTGTGCTCCATGCGCCCACACACATGATCATGTTGCTGATGTTTTAACTAAGGGTGTGAGCAAGACTTGCTTGCAAAATATGTTTGTCAAGTTGGGCGTGATAGATATCTTTGCAACAGCTTGAGGGGGAGTGTTGTCAGGGGCTAATTTGTTATTACTTATATAATGTTGGGGCTTATGTGTAATTTTTGAAACTTGTTAGTATAAATAGAATATGGTGGAAAGATGAAAGTATTCTTTCATTCATTCTCTCTTTCCCCATCTCTCTCTCTCTCTTTCTCTCATCCTCTTTCTTCTCTTTTTCTTCTTCTTCTTCTTATATTTTACTCTTGATTTGATTATCTCTTAAAGTCAACAATAAAATCCCACTAGCTTGCCTCCATTTTTTCCAACCCGCACCAATTCTACTAGTTATATCACCATCTATCTCTCCACCACTTATTTGTGATGCTGTGGCCCAAATTTGGTTCGGGGTGAAACACTGAAAATAGCAAAAAAGAGAGTGAAAGCAAAAGCTAGGGTTTGAGGGCTGAAACTTGTAATCTCCTAATTCTTGTATAGTGAAACCTTTTGCCAGATATTTACCGTGGACGTAAACACAACTTGTGTCAAACCACACTAAATCTTTGTTTCTTGTGTGGTGCTTCTTGTTATCATGTTTGGTGATTGTTTCTTGGTTCATGGTTGTTTGTCATAACAAACTGGTGTCAAAGCTTTCTGTTCGAAGCAGGGATGGTGACCAAGTTTCAGATATCAAGAAATTTAATGACATAAACGATTTTAGCCTCTGGCGGATTAGGATGCACGCTCTGTTGGTTCAACATGGGTTATCCAAGGTGTTAAAGGAAAATGATGCACTGCTAGATAAGATTAAGGATAAAGATGAGGTTATGGAGAAAGCACATAGTACAATTATGATGCGCTTAAGTAGCGAGGTTTTGTGAGAAGTTTCTGAAGAGACTAGGCTGCATGAGTTGTGGAACAAGTTGAAGGCTCAATATATAACGAAATATCTTGTGAACCACTTGCATCTAAAGAAGCAGTTGTTTACTATTTAGATGCACAAAGGTTCCTCTTTGAAAGACCATCTTGACAAGGTAAACAGTATCATCATGGACTTGAATAATATTGATATTAAGATAGAGGATGAGGACAGGCTATTATACTGTTGTGTTCCTTACCACCCTTGTATGAGGGAAGGGTATTATACCATGAATAACCAAAAAATCAAATTAATATGGACAAAAGAGTCAAAAATAAGAAAGATGCTTTCTTCATTCTATAGGTGTCTTACGTATATTCTAGTGGATTCATTCTCGTGGAAGGCTATTTAGCGCTCTAAGGCACCCTCAAGGTGCCTTTCTTTGCATGGACATCTGCGGTGGTGAAGATCTCAACCCAAGATAATATAAAGAGGAGGAGATAGAATGTGGTCAATTGTTGTAACATGTGCAAGAGAGGTGAGGAAACGGTTGACCACCTTCTTTTGCATTACCCAGTCGCTCAAGATTGCTAGGTTTTGATGTTGGGTTTGTTTAGGGTTCAGTGGGCTATGTCAAGGTGTTCCAAAGGCTTGGTTGATGCTTGGAGAGGTTGTATAATAGGGGGTGCAAGCTCGTGATTTTTGGAGGGTCACTTTTGACCATTTGATAATGATATACTTTGGGATTTTGCATGAATTAACGGACACTGTTGCGCGTCTAGTGGTGTTTATGGCTTGAAAGAAATAGGAGATCCTTTAAAGGAAAGGAAACTCCATCGGTGCGCTGAAGTTCTCCATTATCAGCACTCTTTTTGTTGGGTTTTAGGGAAAAATTGTAAATCCTTGGAGGATATGCTATATAGTTGATTTTTTTGACTCTTTGAGACTTTTGAGGCCCCTATTTGGCCTTGTGCAGCTTTTAGGCTATATTTGGTACAGTGGGTTTGAAGGGGAAGGATAACATTAGTTATGAGGGAAAGGGAAAGGGAAGGGAAGGAAAGGGAAGGATAATTTTAACCCCCCATCGTGTTTGGTTGATTAATAAAGGAAAAGAAAGTGAAGTATAATAATCATGTTTGGGAAAAGAAGGAAAGAGAAGAAATTTACTATTATACCCTTTTCCATTTTAAAAGATATATATATATATATATCTATATATATATATATGTATAGATATATATCTAGACCAAAAATAAAAAAGTAAAATAGACCCAAAAAAAAAAAAGAAAGTAAAATAGCCTCAGCCACGTATAAGGATGATGGGCCACAAGATTTAAGGCAAATCATTTCAGCCTCCCCAATCTCTCCGCCTCTATCTGATTTATGTATTGCAGAATAAAGAAGAAGTGTGTTCCAGTCAGCCTTCTTTGCCTCCATAGACTATAGGGATCAAAAAAGCCAGCTGACGTCTTCTTGAACAGAAACCGATTCTCGTTCTCAACTCTGAACTTGCCCTCTCTCTCTCTCTCTCTCTCTCTCTGTGCACTACAGCCGTTGTCTATCAAGAATCAAAAGTTCAAAACCCATATATTTCAGTTTATCTATCAACAATCAAAAGTTCAAAACCCATATCGGCATGTCATTTCAGATTGTTTAAAAATTCAAAACCCATATCTTTCAGTTTCCATCACCCGCTATTTCAGTTCGGGTTTACCGTTCGCAAGCTTCAGCCGCTGGCTGCCGCCGTTCGCAAGCTTCAGCCACTGGCCGCCGCCGTTCGCAAGCTTAAGGTGACGAGAAGAGGGTAAAATTGGCATCACAAATATTACATCATCCATTGCCTTCCCTTTCCTTCCATTTCCGTCCATTTTTGGGAGGTTAAGCAAATCACTGTACAAAGCAGACCATAACCCTCCAAACCGTTCCCTCTCCTTTCCTTCCCTTCCACCCATTTTACCCAAACACAATTTTTCACTCACCCTCCATCACCTTCCCTTCCCTTTCCTCCCATTTCCACTCTACCAAACTGAGCCTTAAGGGATGGGTTCCCCTTTTGAACACTTTTTTATACAATCTTAGTTATAAAAAAGAAGAAGATGTTTTCTTCAATTTCCACACAATTTTAATGGAAGGCAAAACGGGATGGAAAAGAACGAGTTCCCCTTTCCTTCCTTTCACTCTCCTCCCCTGAACCAACAAGCAGGGAGCCCATAATAATAATAAATAAATAAATCTCTGTCCCCCAACCAAACACACTGGAATTGCGATATCTCGCAACAAAGTGTGCAGCTACCATGAAGGAATGTACCTCCATCTCTATGAGAACCACAGCTGGAATTAACAATCCTATTTCTAAAAAGCAAGAAAGATAAGATAATATTCAAGGTCACCTGACATAAATTTAAGCAAAATACCAAGTATTCAACAAAATGCCAATGATATTCGGAACGATGAGAATGCAACGTTTAGATGTTTAGATATGATCTTCTGTCATGAATCTATGTGTGCTTGAATATATAAATGATAAAACTAACTCTTATTTTTTTTCAACTAACTCTTATATCTATTAGATTATTTATACGGTTGTTCGTATCAGCGAATGTCTGGAAATCAGGGAATTTTAGGGAATTCTGTTCTTTGTTCTTCTGTTAATTAAGCTTCAGGCATTTTATTGTGAGTATATATTATCTAGGGTTTCTCTAAGAACTTAAAAGAGTTTTTGAGTTGTCATATTTCATATTTGCTTTATTCTTTAATGAGTGTTGTAATACAGTTGAGCAAAACATTGGAGTTTAGATAGATCTTCAAATAGCTACGGGAAGGTAAGATGATACATAATAAGATTCTTAGGACAAAATTTGCATAAGTGAAATCAAGTAATAACTATTAAAGAATGAATAAGAAGGTAGACTAAATTTAAATTGTGTTGCTTGAAATTGAATTGTGGTGGTGAACAAAATCAGAAAAATATAATTAAGTTACAACAAAATAAAGCAAAATTTGTGATAGGGAAATGCACCGACCTGCTGTTGATATTGGGCAAGCTTACGCCTCTGAGTCTTGAGAGTGAGAATTGCTCGATCAACGTCCGTTATCTTGGGTTTTTTTACGAATATATTCCCCATTATAATCAGAAGAACATATGTATATATATATATATACCTTTCGGAATTTGCTTTGAAGCTAGTTTTCCAGGAGATGGATCGGCCGGACTTGGATGAACAAGTGTTTGGGAAGCCCTAGATTAGTGAGCTTTCGCATCACTGTTCCAACCCTCCCTCCGATGAAGCTTCTTCGCTGGTCAAGGTTAAAACATGAAGCTCAATTCAACTGCATATTTGTGTGTGTGTGTGTGTGTGTGTGTGTGTGTGTGTGTATATATTGCAATCAAATCCAACGAAGCGCACTGTTGTAAGTTTTTTTTATATAATTTAATCTAAAATATATATAATATAATTTTAATTTTTTATTATATATTATGATTTGTAGTTGAATGGTTAAAAAATTTATTTTATTATTTTATTATTTTATTATTTACAAAATATATAAATATATATACAATTTATAAAACGAATTGTTCAATTCAGTTCAGTTTGATCTTGTAAACTTTAAACAGTAACAAATCATAAAAGTATTATATTAAAATCATAAAAGTATTAGATTAAACCTATTAGTCCAACTTATTCGGATTTGATTTATTTATTTAACTGATTTTTTGTGCACTCATAACAATAACAACATAACAAATGTTAACTTGAAATTGGAATAGTTCCTCAAGTCGGGTCAGTTTATGGCACATAAAGTGTGTATAGTATTATTATTATTATTATTATTATTATATATTTATGTAATTTTTTAAAATATTTTTATGTTAAAAAAACCACCAAGAAGGCAAGAAAGAGTCAAGAATTTCTCTCACCCGTGTTACATAATACTCCGTATTTAACATAAAAGGCTGTTTGTGGGACGGACTTGTCCAAGAAAATATATTGGTTTATATATTTCCTATATATCTAACATTGGACACCCACCTGGTGGTGATGTTATATTACAAAGGCCCATTACTCTGCCCATGGATTAAGCTTCTTTGTGGACCGAGAAGATGATGTCTTCACTCGCCGACTGATCACCTCATTGTAGCCATAACCCGTAACCCAACTCATTCTGGGCCATAAAATTCAGCACTAGGGACGGTAATGAGACGGAGTTAAGGTGGGTTTAACTAAATTTTAATCCGTTCAATTAGAAATTCCGTTATATCAACTTCGGTCCTACTTTGGTACGAATTTGTAATTGATAAACTATTCCCGCCCCAACTCCAGCAAACAAAATATCGACTCCGCCCCGCGTACTTTGTTTAATTGCGGGGGCGAACTGGTTATTCCACTTTTATTATTTAGTAAAAAAAAAAAAACTAACCCAATGTATTTAAATTGGGTTGATAAATAACGTAACCCAATTTTTAAATTACTAAATATTGAATATTAATATATTCACGGACACTTGCAATAAAGTGACAAAAGTCTTAAAAATATTAAATATTCCATATATATATATATATATATATATATATATATATATATAAATTTTAAAGGTACATATTATAATCAAGGCGTGTATCGCTAAATTCATCTCCGCCACAAACTCACTTCAAGTTTTTAATTATTTTACCATATCCACCCTAAACTCATTTAAGAGACTAGCAAATCCGTCTCATTAAGAATGAGATGGGTTGAAAATCCACCCAGGAGTAAATTGTCTAAGCACGCCCTTAATATATCACCTCTCTCTTTTGCTCCCATCTTAAATCAGGTGTCAATTATAAACTATTTCCAAATTTTGAACTATTTTGTATTTTTCTAATTATTTAAAAATGGGCTCTGAAAAATTGAAGCAAAGAAGCCCTAAACTTCTACATTGCTTGACCCACAAGGGCTTGTTTGTCTAGTTATGGATTTCAACATCAATTGCCTTTTAGCACCACTGTATGTTTTCACTATAAGAAGTGGAGTTTGTTATGAATGGCATGGCAGAGAGGACGAGGTTTCCACTAAATGTCTTTAGTAGGGGTTGTCCAAATAAAAACAAGGTGGTAGGCAGGTGACATTGAGTTAATTTTGACCTTTTTGTTTGAAGCATAATGACATAACGGCCTAACACACCAATAATGTTTGCAATATATGGATCACCTACAAGTTGAGCCTATATATATATAATTGATATTTTTTCAATTTATCTTTATGTCCCGCACATGCAGGCCTATTGAACCCACATTAATCTGAGGTGGACCCACCTCAAGATGTCTAGCGTGGAGACCATGTAAATTGTGTAGTAGAAGTGTTGCCTCATTTGATCGATCGTGGCCTTTTAGTCATGGAAAAATTACTAGAAGGTCATGAACGGTATGATGATTGGTGGATTAATTTAATATAAAATAATGTTAAGATTTATTTATAATATGTTAATATATTTTTGTGGGTGGAATATGGGTCGGGTATGAAAATTTGAATTTAAATTCATAATTTATGTGATAAGATAATGGAATCTTCTCACATTTGTCTATTGTTATAATTTGATGTTCAAATAATCTTATTCAGTTATTTATTTTTGATATGTACAATTAAAAAAGAAAACTTCCTATTTGGTTCAAGTTTCTCTTCTCGTATTTTTTTTCTTTCAATATCTCTGTATTTGGCCGCCATCAACCTTAGGATTTGAATTGTGAAAAACATATAAAGGACTCTAGTTCCCACTCTATCCACTAGGACTACCGTCAACAAGTCCGTAAAATATGAGAAAAATGAAAGAGAGGAAAATGACCGGGTCATTACAGCGGTTGTCTCGCCCACCTTAATCCAACAAACAGGAGACCGACAAGGCCTACCATACAATGCCTCAAATGGAGCCATCTCAATGCTCGTTTGATAGCTGTTGTTGTAGGAAAATTCAACAAGTGGAAAGTGACCCTCCCAACTTTGTGACGGCCCTGGTTTTTAGGCCACCGCGTCCTGTGATGAATAGAACGTAAATCCGATAACGAATCCAGAATGCGGAAGTAAGAAATAAAACAACGGTCTCCCAAGGCACAACACACCTCTAATACACTTTGATGACCTTCCATGAGGTTATGGAACTCAATGAGAACTGACGCGGAAACAAAAAAACAAAAATATGACAAATAAGCCCCCAGGGGCAAAATAGTCATTTTACATGGAAATGATGTCCCTAAAATGTGTATTATTCCTGGGACACATCTTTGACTTCCCGTGAAGTCATGGAACTCAAAAGAAAGTAGCGGAAGCGAATTATAAAAAAAGGGACAAAAATAGCCCCAAAGGCAAAATGATCATTTCTGAAAAATATAAAATCGAGCATACCACTGAGAAGACAACGAAAAATTAATCAAGTTAGGCTCAAGAATCACTTGATTCGGAGTTCGGATGGAAGAAAAAAGTCAAAACAAAGTTTTGACATCGCCGCGGCTGTGAATAGTAGCTTGGGCAAAATGCTGGAATTCGTGTGCCATTTTGAGGCACTAAACGACGTTTTCTGGAAAAACACGAAGAAGAAATCCCTCTCAAAATAATTTTTCCAAGTTTACCATATCGAAAGATAATTTTATTTTTGACGTAAAATTCCCAAAATGCCCTTACAACAGATTTTTTTAAATAGTGCAAATGAGCACAGGAAATCAGATTTGATGCGGGGTTTTCGGGTTCGAGATGACATTTTCTGGAAAAATATTGTGAAGAAACCCCCCCCCCCCCTAAAATCATATTTTCTATGTGACCATGTCAAGACTGGAATTTATTTTTTACAAAAATTTCCAAAATGCCCTTAGATCAGTTTAGGCTAAGAGGGTTAAAACAAAAAGCTGCTACATGATTTTTTTTTGAAATCTGCCAGAACAGAGAGCGAAAATGGGCTAATAGATGAATTTTTCTGGAAGAACACAAAAAAGAAACCTCTCCCAAAATCAAATTTTCTACCTGGCCGCGCACGAGAAAATGGAAAAAACTCACTATAAAATGCCCAAAATGCCCTTCCATGAAATCTGGTCATGAGGGTCCAAAAAGCTGCTAAATGAAAAACAGAAAGCTGAACTTTGCGACGGATTTTCGGTACCAAGACGACATTTTTTAGAAAAATACGAAAAAGAAACCCCCACTAAAATCTCATTTTCTAAGTGACCATGTGAAAACCGGAATTTATTTCCCGAAGGAAAACCCCAAAATGCCTTTAAACCGGTTTATGCAACAAAAATGTGAAATGAGTCCGTAAAAGGCTCAAAACACAAATGAGAGGGTTTTTCACGAAAACAATCATGCACACAAACGTAAATGGTGATTTTGAGCACACGGGAATGGTCTGCGGCTCCCGGAAATGATCGAGTCAAAATCTGACCCCCCAATGGCCAAAAAGGCAAAAATTGACTTGAAATGGAAAATTTGAAATTCAAAATTTACAAATGATTTCAAATGACCATTTGGCCCTTGGTCACACTTCATGCATGATAATTGAACCCTAGTGGACGTGTCGGAACACACTTTACGTCACCCGATTTGAAAATGAACCCTTAAGGGCTCGAATTTTACTATTTTAGCTCAAAAATGCAATATGTGAAACAAGAATACAAAAGTGAAAACAAAATGGTGTTTGGCCCTTGGCCACACCTCATACATGGTAAATGAATGCTAAATAATGAATTTCATACATAAAGCACACTCCGGTGCAAAATAACATACTAAAACGCATGTTTTTTCATATATTCTCATTAAAGGCAAAATACAACCATTATGAATAAACATGGACTTCAAATGAAATTTGACCCTTGGCCTTATATCATATACATAAAATGAGAATCAAAAAGTGTGCTTAGGCACACATTACAAGTTTAGAATCAAATATACTCATTTGACAAATAAGGCTACAAATGGCATTTCAAGCCAACCTTCACAAAATGGAACCTTCAAGTCCACTAATCGTCCAAGCATAATGAAAATCTCAACCTTGATTCCTATACCTGAAATTTACCCCGTAACTTTGGGGTGAGCAACATAAAGCTACTCGTACGAAATGAGCATACATTGACCTAGCATTTTACAATCTTATCACCTTAAGGTGAAACATGTTAAAGGGGCTCATACCACCTAACGTCTATGTCAAGATGAGACTCAGGGAGCATCATAAGTTACCCTAAATCATTTCTAGCGTAAATCACATCATCCATGCAATTTCATCAACATAAAAACATGCTATACCAAGCAACAAGATATAGATTCTCAAAGTCATCAACTTGAAATCTAAAACACGAAAACAACTAAAGTGGGTCATGCCACCTAATGTCTATGTT